AACTTAATTTGTTGTAAACACAGGGGGGGGCAAAAGTCAGTTTACATACGTTCATGGCCTTTATAGCTCAGTCACTGAGAGTGAGTGCCCGATTGAAACAATTCATTTTGGTATGACTTACAATCACCCCTCATTCGAGGAATATTTCAAATCAAACAATGTTCATGTTCATTTTTTTAACGTAGATTCATTTTTCGCATTTACTTGACAGCCAAATTGTATTGAATTGGCTATTCAAATTATTTTTGCCCTGAAAAATTATAGTTCTAGCTTCTCAGATGACCGAGATAAAAAGCATGATAAACTGAGGGGTTCCATGAAAATCTCGTTCTCCTCAAGTGGGTTGAGAAGATTGTGTTCCTCTCCAGGTATAAGCCGGTTACGTGTGTCATGCTGTTCTATCACAATATGTCCTGCTAGTATCGTGTTATCATGTCCTACTCCGCTCGGTCCTGGTGTCTGATCTTTCAGCTCGTCTCTGAGGGCTGAAGTGTCCGTATCATTACCCTTTTATACCTCGAACAGGGAGATTACCCCACCTAACCATGAAAAGTCCTATCGGGGACATCCAGTTTTTTTACCGTAACCACTGAAATGACTCCTCGTTAATCTTGAGATATACGTTCCAGCTTCCTGTATCCATATTATCCGGTTTCCAAGCTTTCCAGGAGATCTTGACCTGAGCTTTGCCTGGTGAACCTCACCAAATGTCCCTGCAGCGAAGGAGGATATGAATTATCCTACCGTGTGGTTTTTCACCTGGCAAGAAGGCCTCGTACTCTGCCAGCTCATTGACGGCCTTTTGTAAAAAGGTCCTGCTTTTGGGGTACAGAAAATTGCCAGGTTCATATGTGAGAGCCTGGTGCCCTTGTGAGCAATATCCTCTCCACTCTTCTATTCTTTTGTTGCCCTGAGGATGGCCTCGGAATCTAAACTTATTACAATTCGTAAGCCGTGAATAAATGGGAAAAGAGAGCGAACGCTTTCATTCTCGGTATCATTTTGCATTTGAGAACGGACATTCAAATTAACATCATTCCCTTTTGTTTGGGAAAGAGAGACACTGGCAGCGGTCCACTTTATCCAATTGACGAATCGAAACCAATCAATATTGAAATCCCCCAACCTGAATCAATCTTGAAATCCTGTTTTGTGAGTTTAAGATCATGTTGACTTAGAGCCAAATTATACTTGTAGACTTACGCTTTTTGGCAGGAGTCATATCATGGGCCAGGCGATCTAGATGAAAATCAGTAGTGTCTTGTTGGTCTCAAATAGCCCTAAAATATTCTTTGGCTAGTCTGGGTCGATCAAAACCATTTCATAGTGATTCCAATGCTTAATACTGTACTTAGTGTCAGCTCTAGGACTAACGATTTGGCAGGCGAAGATAATTCTGCTCAAAATAATTCACGATTCTCATAATAATATAAACTCAGGGTGAGTGCCAGCTACATGCTCGGACAGGGCCATAAATGCCCTTTGTGGAGATAACAAGCTTGGAAGGTTGGTCGCATGTTTGCATCAGATATGCACTTGATATCACACCCCTCCACAAGGATCACTTGACATTATGTAACCCTCTACAATTTCAAGTAATCCTTGGGCGCAACTGAAGTTTTGAGAATCTGACATGACGAATCAGATCACGTCACTGATTGGGAACCGGTTAATGGCCTGTTGAGGTATGGGAAATGGGCGCAACTGTCGGTAACATAGCCATTTAATTCATAGTTGGAAACTTTAACTTTGCAGATGGTACACGGTAACTACTAATTTTAGGATTCCGTCGCGAAAATTCGATTTTAGGGGCCATACCTAATCAACATCGAACTGCTTATACTCGTGTTTGGGAACATATGCTCGTGTATAGAGTTGTACGGTATACCTTAATTCCCAAAAATTTGGGCGACAAAAAATTTGAGCGGGCCTCTCGCCCAAATTTTTTGCAGACCAAATTAATTGCATAAATCTTTTCCGTCTGCTAAATTTTTTGCTAACCAAACTTTTGGCATTTAGCCTGTGGCCCTGAGATCTATAGAAAGATGGCTTTTTCTTCATATCCAAGTAAAATAATATTTGAAATTTTAGTTTTCTAATCTGTCATTCATGGCTTAACCAAGTGAAATGACAGATTTCACTAAAAATGAACGATTTTTAGTGGAAAATCGTTCATTTTTCGAAGAATTTGTGCCCAAATTTTTGGTCGCCCAAATGAGTTCAAATTTTCTGCCCAAATTTTTCGGGCTCAAATAAATTGTGCTCAATATAATGGCACACAAATTTTTGGGAACTAAGGTAAGTTGTACGGTATAACTCTCTATAATATACAACTATTTATACCGTACGACTCTCCATACCGTACAACTCTCCATACCGTACAACTTTCCATACCGTACAACTCTCCATACCGTGCAACCCCTTTCCAAAGGCAAATGTGGCAATAAAGCAACCAGCACACATTTACTGTTGTTAATAATAATAACTGCAGACACTATGATATGATGTCATGTAATGATGATTTAATGGGATCCATGGTCACGTGATTTCAAAAGATTTTGTCTTTGTTCAACTATTTGCAGTCTGATTACATAACACTATAACAGAACTGTGAAATTTAGCAGCGTTACAAGAGCCAGTAGTTACCATGGCAACACTCTCTATTCTGAGGAGTTACCCTGAGAATTGAGATATAGGAACCTAATCAGACTACATTTCTTGTAATACTGTAGACTGCTAATCTAATATTAGGGGGAATGGTAAGACGATCTCACGTGATCAGATAACAGTTGCTATGACAACCACCTAACACGTGACCAATGTTCTGGAGGTGGTGCACTACAAAAAATGTTCAACATTCAACTTTACACCATCAACTACCCGGTTAGGTAGAATTACGTGTAACCTGGATCTAAGGGTTCAGTTTCAGAGCTGTACTGGAAATATTATCGCTAATAGTAAACTATAACAGTAACATTGTATCACTATACAAACTACAAGTTCTGGACAAGTTCATTTTGATCTACTTGAACGAGTTAGCGACTGGAAATGATCGAAATTACCTTGATTCCTGTATCATTTTCATTTTCTTCGCGCCCATCATCCTGCGACCTGGAGCACCTGTTCAACTCATGATTCGCTTCTTTTAATCAGCAGATTCTTATCTCCTACTGTTCTCCCACTTCTTCCTTCACTCCACCTCCCACTTATTTACTGTTCTGAGTTCTCCCACTTCTTCCTTCACTCCACCTCCCACTTATTTACTGTTCTGAGTTCTCCCACTTCTTCCTTCACTCCACCTCCCACTTATTTACTGTTCTCCCACTTCTTCCTTCCCTCCACCTCCCACTTATTTACTGTTCTCCCACTTCTACCTTCCCTCCACCTCCCACTTATTTACTGTTCTCCCACTTCTTCCTTCCCTCCACCTCCCACTTATTTACTGTTTTCCCACTTCTTCCTTCACTCCACCTCCCACTTATTTACTGTTCTCCCACTTCTTCCTTCCCTCCACCTCCCAATTTGACTTATTTACTGTTCTCCCACTTTTTCCTTTCCTCCACCTCCCACTTGTTTACTGTTCTCCCACTTTTTCCTTCCCTCCACCTCCCACTTATTTACTGTTCTCCTACTTCTTCCTTCCCTCCACCTCCCACTTACTTACTGTTCTCCCACTTCTTCCTTCCCTCCACCTCCCACTTATTTACTGTTCTCCACTTCTTCCTTCCCTCCACCTCCCACTTATTTACTGTTCTCCCACTTCTTCCTTCCCTCCACCTCCCACTTATTTACTATCAGCTATCCTCCTACTTGTAATGTGCTATCTCTTGACGTAATTGTTTTGATGTTTTGAATGGTGAATGGTGAAGCACAATTATTAGTAAAATGACTAGAATTGCAGAATGTTGGAGAAGCAACAATAAACTTTGGATTTTCTCTTTGAAATAATGCCATCTATAGAAGGTAGTTCTTGACTTGGTTTCGGTCTTTACATGTTGAACTTGAAGCTTGTGAATGTGTCACTGCCAATTTAGAACAAATCCAGTGTATCAGGACCATCAAGGTCAACCCACTGAAAATTAAAGTAATATCACAAGTGATGAAGTGATATTGTGGCAAAAGCTAATAGACATTTGGTGAAAATGGTTTTTAAATTTTCCTAGAAGTCATGACCACCTATAATCTATTACATATTAGTTTTGGGAATTTTTTCCATTCTGAAGTATCAACTACCGCCATTACTTTACAACGGATTGTAAATTATATTCATGATATTGATAATTTTGTATATCAAAAGTGTACATCATTCTGCACATAAAGATCATGGTTTACATTAAATGAATCAATGGCACATTATAATTAAAATTCCAAGGTTTTGAATCAAAGCAGATATCAGCATTTCCAAAATATATCAGTTCGCCAACGCACAACGTATGCATTACAACGTTTCTCATTCCATTTTCTTTTCATCGGCAACATTTAATCAATCTAAAGACGCTGGCACGATTTTTGACACGCAAATCAATTAGAGACCACTCAGAGAGCATCTTTCCAAGTACTCCGGTCCCCCAGCATCTTAAAATTTTGTTGTTAATTGAAATAATATGTATCCTTAATAAAAAATGCAGGTGGCACTCCCACGTCACTTGAAAACATTTGAAGAATTTACCGGATCCAAGCTAATGAGATAAAACAAAGTTTTTAAACCGCGTATTGTATAGAGTAGTGTTAAGATTGACAATGGTTTATTGAAGAGATGTCTGAGCGAGCTTGTGTAGGAGGGAAAGTGGCACGTACGCATCTCCTCGATTGGTATGCTTTCCTATAAATGTGCAATTGATGTGCAATTGTCAGCAATACTATTGACAAGTACTACCTGCTTGATACACAAATAAAGCAGAGTTTCGGCGCATATTGCTCCAAGAAACGTGCAGCCCACGTGTCATGGTCACGTGGGCATATTCCCGCCGCATCTGCCAGTTTTCGTCCGTTGGTTTTTCGTCATCTACCTCCGTTGAGATTAATGTTTTTAATACGATTACTTTGAAATCCAGTCCCCTCTTGGATTACGAGGCTGAGAACAACTCATTGCTGCCACGGACCACGTGACTCCCATCGACCAATCACAGCGGGCCTTATCACGTGACCGATCTACTCGCTCACCGCCGCTCGCCAACATCTCGACCCGCACTCTAAGCAGTTTACAGTTTGAGTTTGACTATGCCCCATTAATTTTGTGACGATGGCCATAGCACACGACCCCTACGAGGTAGCGCCCCCTGTGGAGCACGGCTGGGCCACTACCGCCCTCCACTCTATGCTCTCCAAGGAAGCCAGCTCAGAGGAACTGAAGTCAGTGTGGACCACGGCAGCACTGGTATTGAAGGGGTACGACGCCGTGCCCGTGGAACTGAAGATCCTGCTAGACCGCCTGTTTGCAACCTACCACGACAGCATCAGATTGGAGAGACGACACAGGCTAGCGTATTTGGGGTGGAGTGAGGAGGAGTACGAGCGAGGCTACAAGATAGTGGTGAGTCCAGGGGGCCGTGTCCCTGCGAGCAGGGGGCCCGTATCTAGCTAGAGTGGAGCTAGGTGGCAGCACCTCCAGCTCCCCTGTCGAGGTGGCTCACCCAGCAGATACCTCTGCAGGTGGCCGGGCTCTACTGGGCCGGGGTGGCCGGGCAGCTCAACTCGGCTCATCAGGGTGGCCGACTGCAGCTGGTTATACTAATCTGAGGGCCAGGTAGCCCCCACCCCCAGCTAGGGAGCCGGTCACGCCCCGGTCAGGGGGCTGCCACCAGGATGCTTGCTATCACACACTACTCCCACTGTTTTAGACTCTCAATCCTTTGTTTGGTTCGCATAATCATTACTGTTAAGATGCACTGTTTAACTGATACTTGAATCATAGTGAGCAATCGTATGCTGATGATAATAAAATCTATTGTTAATACGTGTTTGCTAAACTAGAATTCTGGCTGAATCAATACCACAGTTACGTTGCACTTGACCTGAGGTCAGTCTTTTGATTTCTGATTGAATTTTCATCAGTTGAATCGTCGAAACGTTAATAGTTGTTATCGAAGCCAAGTAATTGTGCATAGTTTGGGGTTGTTTCTAACTTTCATAGCTTCTGCCCATACGAAAACTTGTCGCAAAATATTAAACTACAACCTCTTGCTTCAACGTTCTATATCCGGATCCATGATTCCCGGCCCATTACGTATAAAAGCTTGCAACCGAAAATCATTTCCGCTTGGGTTCATTAAGTATGATTCAACTATTCCCAACTTAGAAATCGTTGAATCACACAATCTATAGCTTAATATACTTCAAATTTTACGATCAGCAGTAAAGACAAGTTTGGCTAACATTGAAACGAACAAAGCTAGAATAGAGGAAGGATACCCCCACCAACCTCCCCCCAACCTCCCCCCAACCTCCCCCTCCACCAACCTCCCCTCCAACCTCCCCCTCAAACCAACCTCCCCTCGCTCCAACCAACCTCCCCACCAACCTCCCCCCCCCCCTCAAACCAACCTCCCCACCAACCTCCCCCTCCAACCAACCTCCCCTCCCAACCTCCCCCCCTCAAAACCAACCTCCCCACCAACCTTCCCCCCTCCAACCAACCTCCCCCTCCAACCAACCTCCCCTCCAATCAACCTCCCCTCCAACCTCCCCCCTCCAACCAACATCCCCCTAACCTCCCCCCTTCAACCAACCTCCCCACCAACCTCCCCCTCAAACCAACCTCCCCCCTCAAACCAACCTCCCCCCTCCCCCAACCTCCCCCAACCTCCCCCCAACCTCCCCACCAACCTCCTCCTCTCAACTCCACACTTCTCAGGACAATACAGGACGGGAGTTATCCAGGTGGAGCAGATGGAGGGACCCCACAGAGACTATCAGGACATTTGTCAAGTACCCCTGCACTCAGGAGATAGCTCTCAACATGTTGGATGAGTTAGAGAGACGCGATGAGGAGGAGTCACTCATTGACTACGGTAAGTAGCTTCCCAGTTCCCACTTGGAGTAACTCTCTGTGGAGAACTGCACCGACTGTATGTGGAGTATTTGTGATATTCTAGTAATTTCCGAGATAGCTATATAAGGTTGGTAACACACAATTCCCCAGGCTCAAACAGGAAAAGAGCCCGAAAGAAGCAAAGTAGAACAGTGCCCTGTCCAGAGGTTGGATGTACCAGGATGTGCAGGAGCCAAGCTGAGCTCGCCATACATCGCAACTCTCACACCAAGGTAACCTATTACCTATCACATTGGTCCCTAGGTGATCTCCCACCTACCACCTAGGTAATCTCCCACTTACCACCTAGGTAATCTCCCACCTACCACCTAGGTAATCTCCCACCTACCACCTAGGTGATCTTCCACCTACCATCTAGGTGATCTCCCACCTACCACCTAGGTGATCTCCCACCTACCACCTAGGTGATCTCCCACCTACCACCTAGGTAATCTCCCAACTACCACCTAGGTGATCTCTCACCTACCACCTAGGTAATATTCCACCTACCACCTAGGTGATCTCACACCTACCACCTAGGTGATCTCCCACCTACCACCTAGGTGATCTCCCACCTACCACCTAGGTGATCTCCCACTTACCACCTAGGTGATCTCCCACCTACCACCTAGGTGATCTCACACCTACCACCTAGGTAATCTCACACCTACCACCTAGGTGATCTCACACCTACCACCTAGGTGATCTCCCACCTACCACCTAGGTGATCTCCCACCTACCACCTAGGTGATCTCCCACCTACCACCTAGGTGATCTCCCACCTACCACCTAGGTGATCTCCCAACTACCACCTAGGTAATCTCCCACCTACCACCTAGGTGATCTCCCAACTACCACCTAGGTAATCTCCCACCTACCACCTAGGTAATCTCCCACCTACCACCTAGGTGATCTTCCACCTACCATCTAGGTGATCTCCCACCTACCACCTAGGTGATCTCCCACCTACCACCTAGGTGATCTCCCACCTACCACCTAGGTAATCTCCCACCTACCACCTAGGTAATCTCCCACCTAGTACCTACCACCTAGGTGATCTCCCACCTACCACCTAGGTGATCTCCCACCTACCACCTAGGTAATCTCCCACCTACCACCTAGGTAATCTCCCGTCTACCACCTAGGTAATCTCCCACCTACCACCTAGGTAATCTCCCACCTACCACCTAGGTGATCTCCCAACTACCACCTAGGTAATCTCCCACCTAGGTAATCTGGCACAAAACTTTATCCCATTATATGATCCTATCTCCGCTTAGGCAGCCTGATAACTATTCATTCAATGGACCTAGTATCATAAATAGTATTGTAGTTGCACAAACAATATGGTGAGTACGGTTTAAGTCAGGATAATAAGACTGGAATAACAATGAACAAGCCCCCGCTGCAATTGATTTTATGCTTTTCAAACCGAAATTTAACCCGCATGCTATATAAGGGATCTCGTTACACGCCTATACTTTAACACCACGTGACCAGCTTTATCGAACTCAGGAGCGACCATTTAAGTGCCCCTGGAACTCATGCATTAGCGCATTCGGAGATAAGTCAACGATGAAAAGTCATTACTCCGCAATTCACTTGAAGGTAGTTTTCAAAGCACGTTCATTCTGTGAAAAGTATAGGCGTGTGTGTGGTCCTGCGTTTATTTATATTGGTTGCTATTTTATCCTTGATTGACTGACACGCCTATACTTTGTGCATGAAATAAAAGCATGTGATAATTGCATGAATGTTATCTTGGATAGTTTTTAAGCCATCTTAAATCATAATTTCATTTGTATTATACATTTTTATATTTGCTAAATTTCAATAGCACAAGTACATCAAATTAAGGTCCAAACAACTGTGTCAACAGATCAGGCTAGAGAGCTGTTGATCACGTGACTTTGTTCCACATTTGAAGCTGATTGATTATTTATTGCACGTGTAAAACAATTTCTAGCCTTTGTCCAGTGTGAATACCGACATGATGAAATATACTTAGCAAAGCTCATAATACTAATTCCTTATTTATTCTAAATTATACTTAAAGGCCAATTTTATATCGTTAAGCTTAAACTACTTTAAAATAATGCATGATATTGATTAAAATCATATTTTGTACTGGAGTTTTCAAAACAATCAGGACCTGAAGTTCAAATGCAAGGTACCGGGGTGCAACAAGGCGTTTGGAACAGCTCGGAGCCGGAACAGACACAGTGAGAACATCAAGCTACATCAGCAGTTGTTTGCTCAGAGTTATCCTACTTCTCAGATACCGCTTCACTTTAACTCACCTCCGCCTCCGCCGTTCAGGTCAGTGCTCAGCTCTTTTTCTCACTTCTTACTTCTCCTTTCTCATCTCTCTTTCTATTTCAACTCGTATTTCAATTAATAGGATAGAGGAAGTTTTCAAAGTGGAAGTCTAGAACTTTTAAGTTTAACTTTTAACTAACTTAGCGAAACAATATACCTAATCAATATCGAATCAACGAATAATTAGTAATCACACCACCCCCTTGAAAGCTAACACCTAACTCCACAGTTGTTACGAGAGTTCTTTCTTGCCCAACTACGGAGGATTCGGACCCTACAGTTCAGGGCTACCCAGCACTATGGGACCAGTAGACTGCAAACCAACAGCAGGCATCCCCCCTCACTCAGCAGCTCTGCTTTACTCTGACTGTAAACCTCCCGGACCTTACAGCCCCGTACACCCTGGTGTACCCCCTCACTGTGTGTGACGTCATGTCATGTGACTTATGACGTCATGACACGTGACCTGGTCACGTGTCACGACGGACACTCATGAACTTGGTAGACAGGGCCGCTATATCACACCATCTGACACAGAGCCATGACATGTAAACTAACCCCGGAAATAGGGGCCTTGCCTGGAATGATGTTGCCCGCCACAGCTAGCAGTAGTCCTGAAGACGTGATTCTGAGGCCACAGCTAGCAGTAGTTGGGTCCTGAAGACGTGATTCTGAGGCCCCGGAGACGGTGAAGTCAGAATCACTGATAAGCACGTGTTCCATTGTACAGAGGATTAATATTCAATAACCCGACTTAAAAGTGTACCTTGACTCGTAGTTTCTCTATTTGTGGACCCTGGATTTTTATACCCTGATTTTAAGATTTCAAGAGGGACTTTTGTACTGGATTCGAATGGTGGGAATCACGAGCTCCGAGGGAACTTGATATCTGTCTTCCAGTCCCTAACCGTCAGGGAAGATTAGATCAGGTGAGAATGCTGGAGCCTGGATAGTGAGATTTAATTATAGGTGCCCCGCTAAACTTTAAATTATCAAACCATAGCATTTTCCGGAATTTTAGGAAAATGAGCTATTTGATGTTTTGAAAATTTGATTTGGATTTGTGATTATAAATATTAAATTGATGTATATTTTTTACAATTCAAGTATATTTAATAACAAATGAGATGAGTCGTTTAAAAGAGTAGCAAAGAGTCAGTGTGTAAATTACAGAATAAAAATACGTAACAAAACAACCCAAAACCTTCTCCCAAAAAGACAAAATTGCAGCCCTTCAAGATATATCGAATACAAACTTCCCTAAAAATCAAACCTTTACAATAACATTCGGATTAATATATCATAGACAGTTAAGTCTAAGTAGTCGTTCATAGAATACACCCGTGCATTGTGCAAGATTCGGTGGGGGATATTGATTCAGTGGGGGAGGGGTTATAATGGGGGTTTTGATTATTGATTCAGGGAGGGGAGTTCGTAGAAAGCAGACACGTGCAGACATCTGGGTCTGTGGAGAGGATCTGGCACAATGTATAGTCAATTCATACGTTAAAGATGCATGAAGATGCCCCCTGAGACGCGGCCGGTGAGTATAAATATTTTAAATGTTTTCAATACTAAATACTTGAGTCATCAGTTCAGAAATTTAGTCTTTGTCCCGTAATAGAGATTAACATTGGTCAGGCACATTCTAGAATCGCTATTATTGATAATTATCCAATTCAATTCATTCAGCTATAGAAATTACAAACCGCTAATGTTTTTATTTGACGTTATGTTCATGTTGATGCTGTCAAGTAAAATGATATTCAGAAATTTTTCAAATCATGCTGATCTTAAATTAATTAAAATCAGCAAAGATAATTTGAACCAAAAACATGTATCAAATTTACATGACTCCGAATTGAGGGTAGGAGGAGGGGAAGGAGCGGGCGGGGTTGGGACGTCAAAAGCAGTCTCACTGTAGCTATAGGGAGGCGGGGAGGATTCAACATTGTTTTTTATGAACGACGAACGTTGCTATACAAAACTATTTGGTCTGTATCAATGGCAGTGGATATAATCATAATGAAGGGGAAAAAATAGTTTAACCAAGTCTCTGTTGGATTTGAATATCAGCTGATCTTGGAAAATTAAACAAGCAGAAACTGGCCTGATGTGGCAGCAAGATTAGTAAATAAATGTCGTAAAAAGGCCAAAATAAACCCATTCCATAATAATAATATATAATCCTAGTCATAGTGGCTCTCAAGTTGTACAGCAATTACATATTATTAACAAACTGATCGAATCAGCAGGGAAAATAGTAGAAATCAGAAAGGTTACCAAATCGGAAAGGTTACTAAAAAGTAAAATCACATCGGAGCTATCAAACAGTGAGCCAAGTATCACTGAAAGTGCTTCAACATGACTCTAACTGCGAGTCCAGCCACGTGCTGATGTAAATTGTCCGGTAATACCCACGTGCCGGGTTTCGCGCGGCGCACCGTCTCGTTACTCGCCAGAATGTCGGACCATCTCCAGAGTTGTCGTAGTCGGCTCTTGCCGTGCTGTACGAACACGTGCAGCTCAGCAGCCTTATCGGTAGAGGAGCCTGTAATAATGGGACCATATGAAATTATATATTCTGTTAGCAAATAAAAACATATTTGAATATGTTCGTGCCATAATTATGAATTGATAAAATTTTGTAGGGTAAATTATTTTATAAATGACGTTTACTGAATTATATCTCTAATTTTGCACTAATCGTTGGAGAATAAAGCCCCAAATTTCGGAATGACAGTCTAAAACTTAAGAGAGTTTGAAGACAATACCATCATCCGACCTCAAAGATAATTAGTCATAAATTATAGCCAGCCCTATTATATTTAAAAGTTTCAGGTTTTAGCACTCGAATAGGGTACTACTACTATTATACAGTAGACATGGCATTTTAACATATAGGTTTTCTGAATGACAGTGGAGTTGTGTGTTTCGCGTGACAATCATGAGTTTTATGAGACTAAAATCAGAAACTGGGAACGATTGTCCAATGTCCAATGTGATCAGAGCAGCCCTGACAATCATTTAGCCGCTACCTTAATAGTTATTACTAGTAGTACTGATACATATACGCTTTGCTGGGTAGATGCTTGGTATCTTTAATTTGATATTGTGTAAATAAATAATAAATAATAATAAAATGGCAAATGCATTGTTCCACGTACAACTTGAGCTATTAAGATGGGCTTTGAGTTCAACTAGTATGGAAATGGGGACCGGCCATTTGTGTTTGATGCCTGCTAGGCTCTAACTTTAGCCGTTTAGTCGATGATTGGGAATAAAAGAACGTATAATAATTAATATGCTCAAAATATGCATATTCAGAATTAGCTATCGAACGTTCTCGTATTATATCATTATAATATTAACATTATATTCATGCACCCGCCGACTCTTTGCTTTGAACCTCGTCCACAGCTCTTAACGAAGAATGAATTTTAAACCCCTAATTATTTGGGTACCAGATTATTTCTCGAATATTAGTCACCATCTTCTCGTTAATTTTACTTATCCCTTACCGCGCGAATAAGAATTTGATATCGGAAATCATTCAACTCGAGTGCCGAGGACACGCTTGGTAAAAGTGAGTTAATATAATATTATTACGAGTGGTAACAATAACTAAGTGAATATAATATTATTACGAGTGGTCATAATTTCTGATACCCCATTTAATTCTCATTAGTGCGGTAATTGTGTTCTTCCCGATTCTCTGACTGAATAATATTAATAATGAATAAACTCTTGTGAGTGCCTTTTATTGTATCCTTCTCCGACTTATACGGGTACAATAAGGGGATGCATCTTATCTAAATTAAGATTTTTCCTATCTTATTTCCTTCATTGACTTTTACAATTTGTTGCTGACATGTATGAGCCACATTTGTAACATTTATCCAACCCGGGAATGATGGCTTAAACTTCGAAATTACTTTTCGCCATTAAATTTAAAACTGCACTCACCTCTTGTTTTAGAATAAGAATTAGAGGGCTGTAGAGCGATGTTAACCCTTTGTGACGTCACCAAAACACCAGACCGGCTGTTTCTGCTGGGTTTATTACAAAATCCCGTTATCATCAACCAGTGCGCTCGTTCTCCGCCGTATTTTGTGGCAGGCTCGTTGTTCTTATCTTTATCGTAGATCATCCTGAGAAAGGGTGGACTGTTATTTTAGAAATAGGGCCATAATAAAGCGATTTTTAAACAACGTTCACCATAACTATATATGGACACGTTCATTGAAGTTTGAGGATATTGGTAAATTTCTAAAATAGCGTTTTCGACGATAGTGGCTTAATTTTAGCATCTATTAATCTAGCGTGTTCATAAGTTCTGAACATAAGCCACGTGACCCATACTCCCATATGCACTGCTCAGAAATAAAATGTATTGCTTTTAGGCACTATAATGTAAAAAATGTCACATTTTTGTGACATTGTTTACCATAGCTGCCCAATTATCATTCCTTGGTCTGAAATATAGTAGATTAGGTCAATCTAACAATTATGATACAACATTGGTTAAAGGGAACGGATCGAACGGCTTTAAGGCAATATTTCGTAAACTTTGTCACACTCAGAATACGAGACCTCTTTTCTACTGTGAGGTGTCCTCAAAACCCTTTCAACTCATTATTTGATGGTTCTTCTGCCAATCATAGCCCTAAAATATGTTGTTCTGGAAAGTTAGCTAATACATGCACTTGGTTATTGGGAAATGATGTAAATTCTGTCACATTATATGGAATTTGAAATTCTGGGTGAATTTCCGAAATCATTTATATCTGATTTTGGTTTGGAAGGCGGGAAAACTCTATATAAGGACGCTGGACGATACACGGATACAGTTGATTCAAGTATAGGGCAGTTGATGTAAACATCGTCACAAAATGATACGACATCGTAAATAGGTTACATTTTGCGGGGAAATCTATATAAGGACGATACACGGATACAGTTTATTCAAGTATAGGGCAGTTGTTGTAAACATCGTCACAAAATGATACGACATCGTAAATAGGTTACATTTTGCGGGAAAACTCTATATAAGGACGATACACGGATACAGTTGATTCAAGTATAGGGCAGTTGATGTAAACATCGTCACAAAATGATACGACATCGTAAATAAGTTAAATTTTGCGGGAAAACTCTATATAAGGACGATACACGGATACAGTTGATTCAAGTATAGGGCAGTTGATGTAAACATCGTCACAAAATGATAAGACATCATAAATAGGTTAAATTTGGAAACAATGATTATAGAATGAAATAGTCTGTGATTAACATATTACATACATTATAAAATGGGCAGGGGTTTTTATATTTCCTGTATCTCTGTATTAATCATTTCGGACTGTAATTAGGACTGTTCACGTGAAAGAAATTGTATCTAAATTTTACAATGACGTACTCGTATGTGACGAAATTTACATTTCTTGACCCTAATTTGAAGAACCATACCTCGGTTAGAATTCAATGTTCTTCCAGGAATTATTGGTTGGTTATTGTTTAGCAAAATAGAACTCAAGTTTAACAATGCTGAGTTTAATTTTACTAAGTTACTGAAATGTGACGAAATTTACTTTTCCTGCCCCAACAGTATAATTTCAATGTGATGAAAAATTGGCATGGGTTTCTATATTTCCTGTATAAATCCATTCTAACTATAATAAGGACTATTGATATGAAAGAAAATCTATCTAAATTTTAAAATGACGTATGTGACAAAATTTACATTTCTTGCCCCTATTTTGAAGAACCATACCTCGGTTAAAATTCAATTTTCTTCCAGGAATTATTGGTTGGTTATTGTTCAGCAAATTAGAACTCAAGTTTAACAATGCTGAGTTTAATTTTACTAAGTTATTGAAATGTGACGAAATTCACTTTCCCTGCCCCAACAGTATAGTTTCAATGTGATGAAAAATTGGCATGGGTTTCTACATTTCTTGTATAAATCCATTCCGACTATAATAAGGTATATTGGTAGGAAATAAAATCTATCTAAATTTTAAAATTACGTATGTGACGAAATTTACATTTCTTGCCCCTATTTTAAAGAACCATACCTCAGTTAAAATTCAATTTTCTTCCAGGAATTATTGGTTGGTTATTTTTCAGCAAATCAGAACCCAAGTTTAACAATGCTGAGTTTGATATCACTAATTTACCGAAATGTGACGAAATTTACTTTTCCTGCCCCAACAGTATAATTTCAATGTGATGAAAAATGGGCATGGGTTTCTATATTTCCTGTATAAATCCATTCTAGCTATAATAAGGGCAGTTGATATGAAAGAAAATCTATCTAACTAATGCTATGGCTGATGTGACGAAATTTACATTTCTTGCCCCTATTTTGAAGAATCATACCTCAATTAGTATATAATGTTACTTTATCACCATCACTATGTCGATAAATTAGTCATTTTGCCAACACGGAGCAAATAAAGTTATAATATTTTTTTTGTGACGAAATTTACAATTTTTTACCCTGTTCAGGTGTTGAAATTTTGCCAATGTTAACATATCACTGCCATATAATAATTTATATGACCGGCGTATGGTTGAAATATTGTTAATTGATCCATAGTACGTAATATAGGGTGTTTAAGTTGGTATACTAATATTTACTCAATTTCACACATGTTGAGATATCATACAAATTTATGTGACTAAATTTACCTATTTCTGCCTTCTGTATTTGTATTTGCCTATAACAATGAAATATGTGAACAATTCCAAACACATTCAGCTCACAAAATAATGCTAGACTATTCGGCATTTCTTGTCAGGATGTCATAAACATCCCTCATATAAATTTCTTAAATGTGTGACGGAGTTTACATGGTGCTACCATTTAACGAAAAAAGTCGCTAAATATGTAGATAATAGTCATATGCAACTATCCTATAAATTTGAAATTCGAAAATTTGGTCAAACACGGCAACAAGGGGTCCATATAAACTCTGTCACGTTTTTATAGTGTGACAAAGTTTACAACTCACTGCCGGCCGCATTTAAGCGATATCTTATCGTCTGATAAAGATATCGTTATGCGACAAAGTTTATCTAGAGGATGGAACGATTATCCTAACCATTGAGGGTTTATATAGTTTTATAGTGTGACACATTTTACATCATCGTGCCATTTAGTAGGGTCACTAATATTTACCAATATCCTCAAACTTCAATGAACGTGTCCATATAATAGAGTCCAGTCACAGATTTGACACAGTTAAATTTTGAGTTTTTCAAATACATTGTTTGTTGACATTAAAACTCCAAGAAATTGAAATTATCGTTTCCCAACAAAATAGTTGAACACAGACATACTTAATATGCCTGTCATAAACAAGCTGTTTTTGAACCATTTCACAGCGCGTCGTAAAAGTTACAAGCAAACTTAGAAAACTTACAATAGCACGCTATCTTGAAGGAGCTCGCCGAGATCTGTATCCGCACAAACACGCACAATCTGGTGCGGTAAACTCGCATATCCGCACATTTGACTCATGTAGTGGACACTCATCAGTTCTCCCTGACTACTGATACCCGTTGATATTGCTACAGACAGCACTGTGGATAACAGGGTTAATAACACACTCTAGGGTTAAACAACATCTCCAATTAATGATAAATCTACCATCATGCCCAGTAATGAGATAAGGTGAGATAAGGTGAGCAACCTCCTAATATGGCAGTTTGAAAAGTACATGATAACACTTCGTGTTTATACGTTTATAAACAACTTACATTCATTAGCAGTGTTAACAAAGTCTGTGTTAGCAGCTTCTCTTTCTAGTGTCAGGGCGGTCAGTGCTGCGATCCCGCAACTGCAAACAGAGTAGTGTTGAATTTTAAAATATTAAATTCGGGATAATAAAATGGAAGAAAGGATTGTTAAATCGGAATTACTGAGAATGTCAATTCAGTATCTCACGTGGGACCATGCTGGAGGACAACTGGAACGTGATGAGTAAAGTAGTGATGACCTTGGACCAGTGCCAAGTTTCTTGATTCATGGTTCTCCTCCACGATCCTTTTCCAGGTCATATCCCGTGATCAGGATGCGTGCGGAGGCCGAGGGTTGCTCTGGATGCGTGCGGAGGGTGGCAGCCCTGCCCGTAAGGGGGCGGCAGTGCGCGTAAGCACTGTTCGGAACTCTGTTAAATTAACTGCTAGTGCTACAGAGGGATAATTGATTAGAAAGTTACTGGTTAAACTGAATGAAGTGCAGTTGTTTTTTTAACGATTGGAGAACTGGGGTGATTGAATTTGTTGGCTCGATTTGACATCAATCAGTTAGCTTGCTGCCAAACCAGTAAAATAGCTATGATTTCAGGAAAATGCATGGCTTTAACTAAAGAAATAAATCAATCAATTATCCAACAAATAAAAATCGGTCGCTGGCAGTTTTTCATGTCAAATAAACATTTCTATCGATATTTTGTCGAGAAATAACGTTAATTGGAAGTTGGTAAGCTTAATAAATCTGATTAGCCGGAAAAAACAAGCCAGAGAAAAAGTACACGTACACAAGGTCCAATATGTACATTAATAAAATTTGTACGGTATACTTTATTAGCATAACCACCTTGCGGTAGGAAACACATGTATCTTGTATACCGCATAATATGTCTACTTTTAATACAATAAAACAAGATAGACTGAACTGAGTTTATTTCAATTAAATCACCGTAATTAGAACAAATTTATTTTATTGAAAATATCATGGTCTGAAAAGGTTAATGAAATTTGTTGATTGTCATTAAAACTTAATACCCTTGATGTAACGGCTATTGGTTTTTATGAAACAAATTAAAACCGGCTCCCTTGTGATCATAACCTGACCATTATTCATAACGTAAATTAACGTAAGTAGAAACATAATTAACATTTGTAAAACCCGGGACTAAAAAGATAGTTACAGTCAAAAGAGCAATCTTATACGGACAGTATTCGGAAAGTCAAAAATTGTTCAAATCTGCATCCCCCCTCAACCTACAGGTAGTGTGATGAGGTCAGACCATCTCTACCCCCCCCCCCCCTGTCCTTAATTCAAATTAATTAATCTGAAAACTGCACGAATAGTCGGATACAGACTGTAACGGCTCTGAGTGTCCGCTCACCTGAACACAAACTGTAGAAACGAGATAAAAATAATACCACCAATATGCTAACAAATGTATTTATCAGGTATTGAATCAACAAAAATTATTATACGTTACTCAATATAAAAAGTGAGCGTTTCATTGCGCATGCGTTTTGCGATCAGCTCTTCTTCAGATAGTAAGTGACTTACTTGGTGCTTTTTTAATGAAAAATCAGTGACAACAAGAATGACATTCTTGAAGAATGTGTCAATTCATTCGAAAACCATGCACTTTTAACAAAACTCTAAATTCTGAAATATAAAACGAACTGAATGTGAAATACAGTTAAACAGGAAATTGTAAGACAATTTTTTGTCATGATAATTTTGAAGCAAAATGTTTAAAAACCTCACGAAAAGTTCGTCAAAACGCTCTGATAGGAAGCTTCCTGCTTAATCATATATACCTCACATCAGTTCCAAACTTCTAAACTCCTAAAAATTGAAGTCGTGCACTTAAAATTATAATCAAATTAAGGATAAAACATTTCATGCTGATCTACTCACGCTGTTACCGTGGAGTAACCATGGTAACCTTGGTTTTACAACCTATTGTTGCGCAGTGCAACTTGTGCGCGGTTAAAGCACGTGCGTTATCGAAATAAGCACGTGGTTACACCACGGCTAGTCTGAAAATTAGCGATATATTGAGGGTGGTACAGAATGAACCCAATATAAAAACAATACTAGAATATTGCATTCCAATTCTGGGTCACCCTGCAGTGAGTTATTGGTAACATTTTATTAAGATAACAATTGTTCGTTTTTATCATTATTATCATATTTTATGTTCGGAAATACTAGTATTTATTTATTAATTATTATTCCCATAAGAACTCTCATCTGTTCAACAGATGCCGTTCTTTTAGTCTTTGAGAATTTCAAGTAAGTGTTTTCCGTTGAATCTGGAGATTTAAATCATTCCACACATATATTTTCCTGTTAAGACAAAGAACGATCTATCACCCTTTCTCCGATCTGAAGTCGCTCAAATCATTCGAGCTACAACCGCCTCAAAGCTCCTGAGGTCCGGTCATCTTAAACCAAAAGTAACGGAAGAAGTTGAAGAACTCTCCTCCAGAAGGAATGTAGAGGTACCCCTTAGAGAAACTAAGTATCACCAACGTAACCTGCAAAATCACCCTTAGAATCACCCCACTGTCACCTCAATTATGTAATCACTACACTTCTTATTTAATTAAGCAAACAGACCCGAAATTACATAATCTGTGAGAAAGTTTATAACTTTCTATTGATACTGATAGCTTTCATGTGAGGGATTCCTAAATACGTCAATCGTGATGATTCAAAAGAGCGAATCGACTGACCAGTAAACATTTATATCAATATGTACTTTACCTCAATGATGATAATCACGAGGAAGATCAGGAGGAGCGCTAGACTGAACACCTTCTGTGTCAAGGATTGTTCGGGAGTGTACAACTCTTCTGAGGAAATATTGGCTATTTTAGTGGTGATAGAATGGTAGTACGGTGATCATTCTTGGATTTGAGCACATGTTAACTGGTGCAGAAGTGTCATACATTACAGTTTTGTTTTCGTATTTCCTTGAAACGCTAAAATAAATAATGTTTAACTATTTCGGGTGACAAACAGCTGTTTTGTTGCTCTGTGGCCCTCAGAGTCAGAGAACCCTGTTGCTGGGCTAACATTTTAACATTAAATCCAAACTCAAAGCTCACTTCATTACCCAGACGAATTAAACTACCAACCTCTAAAAACGGAACGTGGTTGCAAAAAACCCTGCCTCTGGGTGGATGATTTTAGTCTCAGATTAGTTCAGTGTAACTATGCGGTTTTACATGATTTGTAAAATCATATCGGAGGGTATAAATCTCATTAATATCGATCACGAATTACCAAATCTTTTTTTAGATCTGTAGTCGAGGTCTAAAGTGATGACTGGTGATACGAATTCCACTACTAGAACAGATAAATTTTCACTTAACACACGATTTTTATCATAAGTGTTCTTGTGACGGTACTTTGACGTCAAAAATCAAAACCTCGTTTGAAATAAATTAGGAATGTTACATAACGTTACTTAAAAGGTTGCTTGTGACGATTTTCGCAAGTAAACAGTCCATTTGAGCATTTTATTGAGCATTTCATCGCAAGATTGAAGATAAATACGGTTCCATTCAAATTAGAACCAGAGCATACATGGTTAAGATGGAAGGAGCCAACTAGGGGCGAAATTAATTTTGACCACCACCATTAGGCTAATGGACTAAGAGGCTAATAGAGGCCAGAAATTGACAAGCAAAGTTGACCTAATTCGACCTTTATAAAGAATGTTCGCAAATGGTTTATTCATTATTTTCAGCTTTGAAGTTATACAGTTTTAATACTTGTAGTTAAGTTTGTGAAGAAGAATGGTATTTCTCATCGCAGTGCTCGCACTTTTCCTTGCTAATTTTAGCAGCGCATTTGCAGCGAACAACCCGCAAGAAGATGACCCCATGAAAGAACCTGGTCTTGACCAGGTCAAAGACTGCATGAAGAACTGCATGGCGGCAGCAGATTGCGACCAGACCATTGAGTGCAAGATACAGTGCAAAACAGAATGCTATCCTGAGATGGATCTAAACAAGGAATTTAGAAGAAAGGACCAAGAAAATAAGAATGGTGGCAAAAAGGACCAAGAAAAGAAGATGAAAGGTGGCAAAAAGGGCCATAAAAAAAAGACGAAAGGTGACAATCACAAAAGGGCCAAAGAGATGAAAGCTGGCAAAGAGCACGGTTCAGGCGAAAGGGGAGAAAAAGGAAACAAGAAAGAGAGGTCCGATAAGCTTATGGAAAGAGCTAAGCAAGGACAGAAACGTAAATCGAGAAAAAATGAATAATTCTCACGGCTGTCATTGATATTTTACATTCTATTCAAATATACAAATTGTTTTACTTGTGAATTGTGACTAAGTTCAGATTGATACCAAATGAGTCGTACATCTCTAAACCGTATTAAAGTACAGGAAATTAATCGCAACCCTAAAAATATTATATAATACGTCAATTAAATAGAACATTTCCACAATAGAATTATTACTGACCATTCGCAGTCAAAAGATCATAGAAGCGCCACCAGAACCAACCTACCTTTAATCGAATAGTGTTCAACATATAACCATCACATTGTTAGCTTATCACTTGACTATAGGGATTCCCCCTGAGCTATAGCTATAGTTCATGCATAATTTACAGATAATTACTAAACATCTGTACCACTAATATTATGTTTCCAGGTACAGATCCACCTCCCACAGCCTTTTAAAGGACCAGTTAACTGAAAAATTTGTAGTCTCCAATTTGGCTAAGATTTAAATCAGCTGTGACAAACTGGTAAAGAATCGTATCGCCGAAAGAACCAATTCTCTAGCGTACGTGTAACGCGTGTTATTGCAATAATAAGCTGTGGCGTCGTGACGTCATAAAGTCCCTCAGTGCGCACTTGCATAGCGTAATACATTGCAAATGTTTATCCGAGTCAATAAAACACGTGTAACTCACTCAAATTTTAGAATTATGACTATTACCCTAGTTCCCCAAAATCCTTATAGTTTTGGCTATCATCCTAACTAAAGGAATAGCTGATTGTATGTACAGTGCTCACGTCATGATTTTAAACAGTGACATAATTTCTTGAACAGTGGCGGGTGAATGTACGGTTAGAAAGTTTCTGCTATTACAACTTATGTCATATAATGTGATAATTTTGGATTGTTTTCATTGCTTAATTACACAAGCAGGGAGACTGTACCGATTATTTTTCCCCAGTCCATGAAACTCTAACGAATTTAGAAAGGATCTAGATAAGTAGGAGTTTGTTCAATATCGAGAGCAATTATATTTATATCATAGCGGAATTTCTAACTTTAATCCACATGTGTCAGCCAGTACAGGAGACAAGAAGTCTGGCTACTTTACGGCCGTTCCTCTAGGACCATTAGTAGAAGTAGCTTCTATCAGAACAGTGCCGTGGAAACAGAATTCCCGCCAAAATACCCGGTCTACCAAATAGTAATACTGATTGGTGTGTACGGTGTGTTTTGAATTAGACTTACGGCTTACCTAGTTGTTATCCTAATTGCATTATCATCGGTACATAACATAAATAAACTACTGGTAAGTTTAAATACCAAGTGCAAACGTGTTCAGTCAATCGACCCACTGAACAACTATAGAATTTCCAAGACCCTATTATTCTCTGGCCATATATTACGGCACGATCGATTGTTAGATGGCTAAACGACCAACGTTAATCTATACAATTCTAAAACTATGAGCTAGCACTTTAATCTAAAAATACACTTTTTATATTACTCCTGATTTTTACATTTCACGTTAAACATTGTCGCCACAGGTTGATCATGGACACTAACAGCTTAATTTGAGATAAATGACTTATGAGTTTCTCTAAAGTTACCTCTAAAGTTGTGTAGTCCAGTCATTTATGGACATTTATGGAAATGAACCTGCAAATGTTCAAATACTCACGAAACTTTGCACAGACCTTCCTGAAGGTATGAATAAACGATTTTCGTTTGGAGACATTTTTTGACCGTGGAGAAAACCCAGGAGGGCCACGCCCATATTGACCCAATAACGTAACCGACCCCTTACTTCTGAAGGTCGTAGAGACTTCTAAATAGGCTTAAACCAAGCGGCATATGCATGTTTATATAGGAGTTACTGAGCAACACATGGCCTAAAATCCTTACTTTTCGAGAAATTTGCCAAAAACAATTTTGGGCGTGGTGCTGAGCCCATTTTCGATAGGATCGTGATAGAGTCTTTAGACAGGGTGCAAAAGAACCGCAATTAGCATATTAATATATGACTTACGAACAAACATATGCCTTAAAGTGCTTACTTTTTCAGTTATTGGCGAAAAACTGATTTTCGGTTCCAGAAATCATGCTAAAATATGGGCATCTCGTAAATTGGGCTATCAAGGCCCTACAGATTTTTGAATGAGTGCAAATTGTGCAGAATGGCCATGTTTATATACAACTTATGAAGCAACATGTACCCTAAAATACTTACTTTTCGAGTTATTTGGGGGAGAAACATTGTATTATGTCCATTTTCTACCTGTAAAATACAGTCTCACGAGCTACTCTGTGCGCGCAAGGGACTTTATGACGTCATCGCCAAAATAATACAAACGCTAATTACACGCGTTAGAGAGCAGTTAGAGATTTAGGAATTTCGACTCGTTGCTTAGTTTGCTATTTGTCACAATCTGTCAAAATATGAGGATAACTTTTTTTTCAGTTAACTGGTCCTTTAAACATTTCTGAGTGAGATTTGTTCAATTGATGGACACTTGGACAGTTCATTTCTTTATCCCTCAATTACATCAACAGACATTATACCCTCATTTTATCAGTTTCGATAACATCAATATATTATCACTATTCACTAACTTTGACATATGTATAATTGACTAGTGAGATGCTGATTTCATTCTAATAAGTTGGATAATAGTGTTAATATCTCCCTCCTGTTGGCACATTGCCATTATCCAGGTTTATTCCTGGACAGATTATAGAATGATTCATCGTAATCACTAAGCAACTAGCTCGTACGTAGTGGTAAATTGAACACATCCTAGTTATTGCAGCTTGTTTCTCCTTCTAGATTTACCCTGGAATGTTTAATGCTCTACCCCCCTCACCACATTCTACACGTTATGCAATGTCATCCCGAATTGTTTTCCAATTTCTCCACGTGTCTCCTTCCAGTGTCTCCTTTCAATGTCTCCACGTGTCTTCTTCCAACGTCTCTGCATTTCTCCTTCCAATGTCTCCATATGTCTTCTTTTGATGTTTCCCCGTGTCTCATTCCTTTCAACGTGTCTGCGTGTCTCCTTCCAATGTCTACATGTGTCTCCTTCCAATGTCTCCTTTCAATGTCTTCCAATGTATCCCCATATCTCCTTCCAAAGTATCTGCGTGTCTTCTTCCACGGGTCTCCTTATAAGCTTATAATGTGTTCTCGTTTCTCCTTCAAATGTTTCTCCTTCGAGATTTACCCTGGAATGATGTTTAATGCTCTGTCACCACTCACCATGCTCCGATATTATTTCCACTATTTACCACTATTATTGCCACCGCAATGTTTCCAGATGGATTTATGTGTTTCCTTCCAATATCTCCTTTCAATGTCTTCCAAATCCAATGTCTCCCCAGTCCCCATATCTCCTTCCAAAGTATCTGCTTGTCTTCTTCCACGGGTCTCCTTCTAATGTCTCCTCGTATCTCCTTCAAATGTTTCTCCTTTGAGATTTACCCTGGAATGATGTTTAATGCTTAATCACCACTCGCCATGTTCCAATATTATTTCCACTATTTACCACTAGTAGTAGTATTGCTACCGCAATGTCTCCATATGTCTCCTATTAATGTCTTCACGTGTCTTTTTCCAA